CTTTGAATAATAAACTGAAACATTTCAAGATTGAAGTATTTTCCAGCTAGTAATAGAAAACAAAAACGAACTCCAACACGAAAACAGATTTGAAAGAGACTTCTTTGCTTGAATTTCTTTCTTTTGTATAACAACAGAGGGCGTTTGTTTTGTTGCTCATGTTTCGAATGGGATAACGTTTTGCTGTATGTGTGTTTTTTCTTTTGTTTCGCGCGCCGTTCGACCCGCCCCCGTCCATATCGTCGCTGCCGCAGGAGGGATGCTGCATTATGTGGGACGCATGTTTCCGCTTGCCGCGCCGCTCGAGGGAGGGCCACGGCCACGGCCGCGAGTGCGGGTGCCAGTTTGCGCTGCTGCATCGCGCCGACGGCACCTAGCATCCGATCACCCCCGACTCTCCCCTGCTCCATAGTAAGTGCCGCCCCGCCGACCCGCCCATCGTCAAACCCACTTTCACTAAATTTCACGTCAACAACAAACAACAACTCTACGGCAAACAAAAGACCACAACAAGCAAAAGCCACGAAAATCACTTTTACACCCTACATGTGTTCATTTGGTTGCCTACCGCATATATACTTGTGTAGTTTTTGCTTGTTGTGACATAACCTCAACTGTAAACTATTTACCACTAACAGTACACAGGTTTTCAATGTTTCTAAACGTTTTCTAAATACATAGTTTGGTATTCTCTCAAGTTGTGGTGATTTTGTGTTTTTGATCTTTCAATATTGGGTTTGTTTTGTTTGGCGAGCCGACTGCACTTGATTCCATTCTCAGACTCTCACCGCTCTCACCTCCTGCGTCTGGCTTTTCTCTTCGGCCATTTTGTTTTTCTCGATGTTTGTGTATACATTTTTTGAATGTGCTCTTTATGTCTGAATTTCAGCTGTAAGTAATCATTTTTATTAACACTCTGTATTATTTTGAGCGAACTGTAACACTGTGCAAACCGAATTTGTTACACATTGCAATCTCATTGTTCGTGTACATCTGGTTGCATATTGCATTCATTATGTGTTTCATCACGTTGATGCTAACGAAGTAAAAAAAAAATGAATTACGTTGAAAATATGTGAGTGACGGGTAGAAAAGTGCAGCGAATAGTTTTACACTATGTAATATACGCGAAATTACGTGCGAAAATGTCAAAACCAGACGCTGGAACAGTAAAAAATTTGCAACGACGTCGAGACCATTCGAAACTGATTGATTTTTAGGCGTTGTCATCTGTCATCACGAACTGAAATCTATTTACAATCACTTTCAAAATCAATTGCAATCATTGCGTACGTATGTACGTGAAAGTGTTAATTATTGGTGTTTAAAGTAATAAAAAGTATAGTCGTAAACAAATCTAAACATAGCATTTTAGCATTTAGAAATTTAGCTGAAAAAAACATCGAAACGACGTAAAGTGCTCGAATTATTCGTTTGGATTTTTTCGTAATCATTTTAACATTTTATTTTTGTTGGATTAATTATTCATACGTATTATTGTGTACAAATTCATTTGTGATCGTTTATTATCGTTCTATTATGATGCAATTGAAAGTAGTTGATATTTTGTAATTTAGTAATTCGTTTAAAACTTTTGTTATTTGTTTGAGATGTTGTGTGGCTAAGTGGGTTGTCTACGTTTGAACATACACTAACCTATAACTATAAACTCCCCTAAAACATACAAGTTTATTTTATTTGTCTTGATAACTTGTCAAATAAGTTGTCAAAGCAAATAAAATGAAAACGATTAAATAAATTAAAGTTAAGTATTAAGTTAAGCATTTGAATATTAACCACGTCGTGTGTCGCCAGCTAGAATTAACACATTAGTCCGTGACGTCTGTGGTGTTTGTGCTACTGTGATATGTCTACCTTAGTCTAGTTACAAACCTATACAATAAAATAACAAAAATAAACAAATTTTTGTAAAAAATCATAAAATGTTTATTTTTGTTGGTAATATATACGATATTTTTACTAATCGATGTTTTTTATGTAATCAATAGATTCTTACGCCATCGACGACCCGTAGATCCCGCCCCCGACTCAATTCGGCCATCTTCACGTCGTACAGCGGGCCCGGCTTCGACTCCAAGGAGTTCCTGCGACGGCACGGTTCGCAATCACAACTATGTCGAAAAGCGCGCAGCGTCGACAACATATCGCTCGATGAGCAACAAAAACACTTTGGTTTACCAACGCTCTCAATCTCCGGGCCCAGCCCGCCCGAGGACGAAGAGGACATTGCCATCGCCGACGAAACGGACCGCTTCATCAAGAGTGACGCGTAAAAGTACACAAGCATCTCTGTGTGTACACTCGTCGAACACTCGAACAATTATTTGCCATTCATTAAGAGTTAAATTAAGAGTCAATTCAACTGTATCACGACCATACGCGAACATTCATGAAGTCTTGAGACGGAGATATTGGTGTCACAGAGGTTGTCAAGGATATCGGACTAAATTTATCAAAATTTCGGGGAAAATCGGGGACGAAATCAGCTCACGTAAAAAATGAGAAAACGAGTAGTTTATATTATAAACAAACATGGACTTTATATCGATAGAAATTGATACATATTAAAAATTGATAAGATATTGACATATTAGAATTGATAAACGAACATTCGGGGCCACAACTTATCACGCAAATAATCGTAGATTAGTTTTAAAACGTGTAATCTCTACTGGAGTAGGATAAAAGTTAAGATTTGAAAAATTCTTCGCAACTTCATTGAAAACATTTTGAGTTCTAATGTTATTGTGAAACAAGATTTAGTCTGAAGGCATAGAAATAGTTTTACATTAATTGTAACAAGAAACATAATCTGTTTATGAATATTGAGTCAACTATAACGAACATATTCTAATTGTTTAACGACTTTTTAAATTAAGATTATTATTGTAATGATTGTCATTCTGGTAGTGATTAGCAATGACTTGCCGCGTTATCATATCTACTAAATGATAAGATAGTAACTGATTAGCTCTTGTTTACAACTATTAACTGATAAGCTATAAATAACATGAATTCACTTGGAATCTAAATCTAAAATAGCTGAAATAGTGTTCGTATTTAATCATTGTATTGATTGATATTGATTATAAGATTTGAATGATTGTGGCATAGCTCTCAATTCTATTTATCTAATAATATCACGTAAAAATATGTTGAAAACGAATTTTAAGTATGAATAACAATCTAAACGACACAAAACATATTAAAATTAATGTATTGTAACATATTGATATCTATGTTTGGTTATGTTATGTTTTTGGTTATGTTACACTGTCACACGAGAACACGAATTGTAAATGTTGACCACTGATCACTTTTTGCTCAATCGCTGAACTAAAAATGTATCTTAAAACTTAAAACTTAAAATTTACCATGAAAATAAAAACGAAACAAGATTGGTTGTCAATTTACAAACGCTTTTGAGATGGCGTCACATAAAATGGTTGTGTTTACAAACACACAATATTAAAAATTAAATAATACACGGGCTAGATGACCGTAAGTCTGTATTCATAATCAAAAGAATTAAAACATATTCTTAGATGGAATGATTAAACTAGACTCTAGAACCAATTTTACACGAATACTTGAACCAAATGTTTTGAAAAAACCAAAAACATAGAATACTTGTGAAAGGATTTTGAATGTTAAGAATTAAAATTACATGTGAACTTTCGTACCATCTATAAATGATAAAACAAATAACTATGACCAAACAAATTGAAGGGAAGAATGTGTTACATGATGTTTATAGCATTGTGTTAACAAATCAAATGAATACATATGAATTGGGTCCAATATGTAAACGTAAAGAAACAAAACAAAAAATATATAACTGGAACAAAATTGAGGTGTCTGATATCAATGTATGCAACCAAATTAACTTCTGATCGAAATTCTCGAACGAAGGTAAACTTAAAATGCGACAATAAAACCGTCACAAGCGTTTTATTGCTCACACACCCTCCGATTTGGCTTTAATAACTTTAATATATGAACTAAACATAAACGAATAGTACTACATACATACTTATATTACATACTTGTTATAATACTGTATGTACTAAAAACATTGAACAATTAGTATAACACACACCATAAAATGACTTTATGACCTTTTAGCCGTACTAGTAGATATCTCTGATAGTGAAATAAAACTTATAACCGACATATCGTATAAATGTACTTATGTACTTACTTACATGTAGAGTAAAACATACAATTGAATAACGAAACAAACGATTGCGATTAGTTGTAACACCTAAACAATTACATAACGAGAGCTTGGTTTTAATATTACTGTGATTCTAATAATGCCTTCTAATACTCATACATGAATAAACGATTTCATTTTTCTAGTCATATCCTAAATACTATATATTATAAAAAAATATTTAATGAATGAATATATACATATTATATGATGGACGATGGGGAGATTAAATTGTAATATTGTAACAATTACATGATTACTGTAAATTTGCTGTATATATACAAGAGGAAAACTACCAAATGTCACGTATTTCTTTGTGTAATGCAATAAAGTAAAACATTATAATGTATACGTTATTCATTGATCTTTCAGAAACACTGAAATATATCCTAACGTGAAAGTGTTAAGCTAGTTAATTTAAGTATTAGAACCAGGACTAGGACTGTGTGGACTTTGAGATAAGCAGTGAGCAAGGGGAAGTCGTGGCTAATAAGAAGAGTGCAAAGAGGAGTGATTTTTTTCTTCATCATTCTTCATCCGAATGAAAATAAAACGCCTAGATGCAAACGCTGGAAGTTGAAGAACCGTCAAATGTCAAATAAAGTTTATATACACCCATAAAAAATAGTAAAAAAATAGAAGTTTCTTTGTCATAAAGATAATGTACCATGATGGTGTAACACACAATGATATGAAAAGCACCGAATCAAAATCTTTAGATGTGCAGTTTTTAATTTGTGTGACGATAGCTTTATACTTTTGCGGCATATCATAACCTCTGCAATAGCTCTGCTCCTCAAAACAGTTGTGCTCATTGATACTAAACGATTAAATCTTAATTTTTAAACAATTAAAACATAATAATGAGTGGTTCCGGTGACGGTGGAGGTGCGCAAGGCACTCCGAAAGTTAATACTTCTGATTTTATTGGGTTTAGTGTTGATACACAAGGTTCCCCTGGCAATCATCACTTTTCACCTGGAAATTACAGCAGCCCACAGGGACATCAAAATCCGCCGTTCTTCCAGAATAATCGCGGCAAAAGATTTAACAATTTTAATCACAATAATCGTAATAGTTTTAATAACTATAATAATTATAATAATCAGTATAACAACAGTCCAAACAGAAGTTTCAACAGAAGTTATAACTCAAATCATAATAGGAGTTATAATTCTAGTTTTAATCAGAGCCAGAACAGGAGTTTTAATAATTTTGGACATGTAAGTGTTAAAAATTTAAATGGTTTGAATTAATTTATTAATATGGTCCATAATAACATACATTATTGTTGAAGATATTATTATTATTTTAATTGTAACAACATTTAGTAAGAGAAATTTTATTTTCCATACAAATTTAAATCAAAACTTAATTGCCATTTGTTCTTCTCATAAAATGTATGCCTATATTAATGTGATTTATTTTATTTGTAGTTTAAAGCAAAACAGGACCACAACAACACATTCAACAAGCATTTATTCATGCATCCATCATTTATGGAGAATCCATGGGCAGAACTGGAACAAAAACTTGTTCAGCAAAAGTCATCAAATGCTTGCAACTGAAGATTAACAATGGATAAGTCAAATAAATGTAAGTATAAGTTGTAAAACAAAATTTATTGCTTTTATTTTGCGAATTTTAGAGTTAAAATGATTCTTGTTAAGTTTAATCAATATACAATATAAAATAGTTATATAATACAAATTTTCAGTCATGTTTCAAGTGTATTATTTGATCTTTGTGTCCACTTTTGATTGTTTCCTGATATTTATTGAACTTAATAAGAGATTTAAAGCGTATCTTTAATATCAATGAAGTTTTTGAGATTCTTGAGATATATTCCGGGTATTTTCCCGCAGTTTGAATCACCTGCGAGGTCCAAATAGTTCTCCAGCGGCATGAAAAACTCTTCATATATGTCATTTCCAAGTTGAAACTATAATAACATAAAATATTTAATTCTTCATCTATTTATTTACTAAAAATTAGTTTTAATACTGACCTCTTCGAATGCTCTGTATATTGATGAGAACACTGGCTGTTTTTCAGAGTGGAAGAACCCCCTGGAGCCGTGCAACACTGCGACTCCAGCACGTTCGGCACTCTTACAGACGCTCATGTACATGCAGTGGTCCGGCCTGAAGTTATATCGGCACGGATAAATGAATAATTTATCTGTAAAAGAATCAAACCCATATATTAAGGAAAATTATTAATTTTATACATGAAATGAAGCGTATATTGCGTACCTGGATGAAAATGAAAGATAATATTGATGATATCCTGATCACCCCATGTGATTTTAAGCTTGTACCGTTTATAAATTGGTATAACATAGTCAACCCATTGAAATTGACGCATTCTCGTCAGATTCATCAACATCACGCCCGAATTAACACCTGGAAATCAATAACAAACATATATCTAAACTAAATATGTTTTTAAATTGTTTTCTTTACCTAAAGGACCGTAATAGGGATGCCTAGCAAACCTATTGTACCATGCAACATTTGGATCTTCATGTTCGGGCGCTAGCGCAGCCATCTGACTAGAATTCATCTGATTAAAGTGGTCCCACACATCTTCCACCGGTGTTAAAAACAGTGTGTCGGTATCGACGTATAAAATGGAATCAATTTCACTCAAAACATTCTAGAAATATTTTTAAATTACTGATTATTTTTTGCTTAATTTCTTTTGGTATACTTACTGGTAGAAAAAGTCTTTGTGAAGCACATGGTTTAAATAGTTTCCTCCATTCCTGTGTGTTATCTTTAGGAAATGTGAGTGGCATTACTTTAAAACCAAAAGCATTGTTGGTTGTTTCCTGCCATTGTGCCAGCTTTTCATTAAAATTTTCTATTAAGTTGTCCTCAGTAATAATAATGATCTTAATATGTTGTTTTGTTAACATTATTGCTGATTTTAACATTGTGAGTGTTTCCTGTAGTCTATCACCACAGGCAACCACAGCCAATGTAATATTATGCCTGAATCAATCACATATTTTATGTTGTATTGTAATAGTAAATTGTGGTTTTGTGCTGTTTTTACTTACCCATTACTGTTGAATATTCTTTTGATTGCACCAACTGATGAGCTTTCTATTGTGGATTTGCCTTCCGAATAGTTCACTCCAATACCAGTGTGATAAAAGTAAAAATATAATACTGAAAGAAATACTAGCAAAGCGAAACAAAGGCGGGCTACCGCTAGAACTCTCATGGTTGCGCCGGATTCTCAAATCATAGTTTGTGCTGCTTTTGTGTGGGATGCTTTAGGGGTGGTTTTGTTCTAACTAGAAGTTTAGATTTCGGGGTACTCTACTTCATTTGTTTCTATCTGTTTACATTCTCGACCGAACAAACAACACAACGCAACAGTCATTTGTTTTGTTACTTCTGTTAACCTCTATGTTGTTTAGGCAACTTGAAAGGCACCAAGATGTTTAAATATGTATCAGGAAACATTAAGCGATGGAAAATAGATTAATATGTTTAATGATTGTTTAGGATTTTTAAATTATTTAATATATAAACAGCTGTATTTGAATATTTGATTGTACAATAATATTGAACAGTAAAATTCTTATCATCTGAAAACATGTGGTTGTGCAGTTGGGTTTCAGTTTGCGCGTTGTTCTGTGACAGTAGTGTATTTTAATCATTAATTAAAGACTGCAAGGGTATAACGTGAACATTAACTAAGATAAATGATGGTATGATTGTGGAAAATTGAATTTTATGATTTTTTAAACAGTTCATTTGTTTTAGTTCCAGGAGGTTAAGGTTGTCCACAAATATCAGATGGAATTTATTCCTATGGCAGCTAGAAAAAGGAAAATTTGGATGTTAAGCAAGATGATTGGATAAAATTAAAACCATTTGTTCACCTCCAATACACTCCTTAGAATGTGATGGACCTTAACTACTTAGGAATGCAATTTGAGAGGATATTGCAAGAAAATTGCAGACATAAGGTAGGATTTTTTAAATTTATTATATAAACATTATAACTAGTTTAAAGCAAGTACTAGAAAATAGGACAAATATTTATAATTGTATCTTGTACTTTCAATCAAGTACCCTTTGAAATGTATACCAGTCCAGACCATCCAATACATTGTAAAATTTGTTGTATGTCGGATTGCCTACAGTGGAAGTTCAGTTTTGTTTTATTTCTGTCATGTGCTGAGTATTTACAAATTTCTTTGAAAGTTACTTAGTTTAAAGCAACATGGAAGGTCATAACAATAGTAACTTAAACCAAGTTAGTGTAATGCAGTATAATATTTAAATTATAGTGTTAATTATCCCTTTTTCAACCTAAAATAATTGTAGTTTAAAACAGAATCACGTCAACTTTTGGAAAATGCTATCAAATGTGTGGAAGATCAAAGAAATACGTATAAAAATTTGTATGAACAGCGAAACATTTATGAAGAAATAAACTATAAAGGTAAAAGATCTTAATTCAAGTCATTTACATACATAACTTTAGGGTTAAACTGTTATGTGGTTCTGTGTAGAAAGTTACGATAAACTCCAAGTTGATTTCATTCAACTTGCGCAGAAACGCAACGATTTATTGGAACAGAAAAAACTTAGAGAGTTGCAACAGAACGAAGCCATTACCACTAAAAACATTTCATATGAACGAAGAGAATATGAATTGGAGAACGAAATTGCGAATTTAACGCATAAATTCACAACCGAAACGAACAATATGAAAGTGAATTATCAAAGTCAACTGAACGAGGTGGATAATAAGTTAAAACAATTAATGGTGGCAAATGTACATCTCAAGTACGAACATGCGGAATTGCAGACGCTAGTAGAAAGCGTTCAGCGCAACACAAATCATTCAAGCGATCAAGATGGCTACGCGAAAGAAATTGATTATTACAGGAACTTGCTGATTCACCGAGATGCACAAATTGATGAGTTGGAGAGAGAATTAATGCAGGCAGATGCAGCAGAAGCCCAATTTAATTCAACCAACATATTGGGTAATTCTGTACTAGAAAATGTTCTAAATGTGAGTGCTACATATGTTGCGCCCATCATAAACCAATCTCAGCCAACATCAAACACTTTCAATGCTTTTCATTATGTTGCCAACTCTTTGCCGATTAACCCACCGCGTGAAAAGCGTTTGAACGAAGAATGGAGTGCTGAAGACTATGATAAATATGCCGGGATGTATTTACATAAAATAAATCCTCGAAAAACAGCTCTGGAAACAAATTTGTCTGAAGATTCAAATTCAGGCACATCAGTAACTGCATCGACATTTGTTTCTGAATCACCGTCAGTTAGAAAACGTGTAGCAAGTATATCTTTTACTAAATTGTCGGTCAAAAAGCCTAAACAAAATGGAGACGAAACAATTTCGAATGTAAAATTTGCCCCACGTGATACCCAAAGGAAGAAGCGTAAATTGTTAAGCGAAAGTATGCAAAATGCTGATGATTCCGATTAATTCTAACCTTAAAGATAAGCAATAGTGTTTTCCGCGTGCCTTCTGTAATCGGGTGTACACACTAAACATAACAATCTCTCTTTATTTATCAAATAAAACTTTCGATTGAGTTTTACAACGTTGCGCGTATGTCGTGTACAAGACTTTTGATATATATTTTTGAATATAGGTTAAGTTTCTCTTTATTAACTTAATGATATCGCATCATATCAGGTGTCGTGTCAGTCTTATGGATACATCACAGTCTCGTTACGTTCTCGCGTCTAACCCCTCACAGTATCTAACCTTGCTCAACATTTTATAAACATATCAAAAATTAACCTAACATAATCTTTGCGGTTAATAGAATAATGAAAATTGTGTCAGTGTATTAACCAGGTAACTTCTCAAACTTCTTTGGTTGTTGTAATGCCACATATGGCTGCTGTTGAAAGTTGACATTAATGGCGACCGGATGCAGAACCACATCTTGATTCATTGCGCTGAGTAAGTCATGGCCGTTGAGATACGGCGACAGTGCATCATATTCTAGAGTCACCGGTATGTAGAAGGATCCTTTTGTGTGCAGAACAAACGCGGGTACTTGCAAGCCAAGTTTTTCGGTGTTGCTGTGTCCGTTGGTCATGCCATTTGTTGACGAGTGCGAGTGTGTGCCATTCACGCCATTGGTCAAGTTTTTAACTTCTAGTAGAGATGTTGGTTTTCGGTGTAATGGACTACTGAATGCTGAAGTTTCATTGGTGGAGAATAAAGACAAGTTTTGGCTGGGGGGCGGGGCAGTTGATAAAGTCCAGGATGTGGTCATCATCGGTTCCATTTCATGGTGGTGCGAGGAAGGTTTCAAAATGGCGTGTGACGAAGGAGTGCTGTCTATGAAGTGGGCTGGTGTCGGTGAACCAATACTAGAACTAAAGAAAAAAGTTTCATTAAGTATTCCAACACTGTTTTAGATATAAATTTTAATTACCCACCATGTTTGATTATCAGTACTAATCGGTGTACTATTTCTTCGATCTTTGGGATTCTTAGCATTGTCCTGTGTAAATCTTTGCTTGATATCATTTTTGTATTTGTACCCAGCGTGATGTTCGTGATGTTGCTCGCCTCTTTTCTCCACCCCCACGTCTACATCCGCCTCCGTGTCCATATCACTCCGCCCTTCTACCTCAGCAACCATTTCAAATCCATTCGTCGCATTCATGCTTTCCTGCTGATGTTCACTATCGTAATTGTTATTAGGCTCTACTTTTGGTTCCATTTTATCAATGTTAACATGTATTTGCCCGGTAGATGTCACTCCAGTGGGCGGAGCATCAGCAGTTCCTCGGCAAATATTATCACAGTGCGTCTGCAGATGGCCCAATAGCCGCACACAAATTGGTTCCCTTGGAAATCGCCCTTCAACCTCGACCAGGAACCTCATCGCCTCCGACATGCACTCTTGATAGCCCAGACGATAGTGATTCATATACTGCAGGTATTTCATGTGTTTGATCGCCATTTCTATGATTTCCGTTTTCTCGACGCGACCACGACCTTTTTTGAGATACTCGGCGGGGATAAGACGAGATAAGTCGGCAAGGCAGTTGTTCATACGATCGCGTCGACGCTTCTCAATGATGCGATGCGAGAGCGGGTCCTGGCGGGACACTCGAACAGGAGTCTTGCGATATGCGTAGTCGATGCAGTCGTCGTCACCGGTAGCAAAATTCAGGTTAGCCGCTTCGCAATAGAAAGGTTCGCGCGTGCGCGGCGGAATGTTGTCATTGGAATTACTGAAACAAGTGAAATATTTGCCATGTTAACTTGATTATTTTTTTAAAACTTTGATAATATTTTGATATATCACGCATTTCCATCGATACCGAGTCGGCGAGTCTGTCGTCGACCCGCCGCGGCGAAAAAAAATCACAATTTGCGTCATTCTCGACCTTGAAAATCGAAAAGCATGCGATTATGCATGATAATGTTTCGCCAGGCGAGCGATAACCACGATAATCCATTAGTGCGCGTAATATTTCCGCTTAAAATGCAAAAATAAAACTCAAATGTACCAAAAAATTGCCTGACGCTTATCAGCTTACTTCATCATGCGAAACAAATTAACCGAAATCATGAATCGTAAATAGATATTCGACTGGAGTGAAACACGTGACGATTGTGATAATACATAACAAAATGTTTATCGCTAAGCGGGCCAGACAACAAGCGTACATGTGATTACAAGTGTCTGTAGTGATTAGAAGTGGGTACTCGTAGCTTGCGCACAGCTGTTATGAATATGTGTGTGGAGTGCGCTTATCGAATATACCGGAAATCAAAAATTTCCATTCACACACATACGTGAACCTGCCAAGCGGGAACGACGTGCGCCGTGTCACACAAATAGATTGTTGCTATTTTTAGCAGCGCGGCCAAAACAAGTCAACGTGAAAACCTGTCACACACACATGCATATACAACGTGTTCACACAATAATATTTACTTCACTTGTAGAATACATAGTTGTCAGACGTCAACTATTTAATATTAGTGCTACATGTTGCAACATTCTTCGCGTCTTAGTCAAAGCAAATAAAAATATTACCGCCGGCGATAAGCGAATCTCGTGCTCGTGCGCGCGATAAACAATCGTGCGTCATGCGCCTGATTTTTTCAAACACATTTTATTTTGTTGTACTTGGAGTGTATGTTAGTGTGGCAAGTCCCGTGACTTAATGATTGTGAGTGGTGTGCATAATTATAATTTTGATAACAATAATAAGAGAATACTGATAACGAATAGAGTCATGTGAATGACAACTAAATTGTAAGTCAATTAAACAACTCCAAACTAAATTGTTTTTTTTTTTTTAAATTTCGGTTCGTAAGTGTTTGTTTTGATGAATTAAAATGTAATAAATATTATTTAATTAAAGCGTGCGGTTGGTGTTTAATTAAATATTTATTGCAATCGTGAACATTGACATAGTTTCATGCTAGTTTGTATGCGCGATCGTAATTATCGGCATCGTAAACACCGCGAATGTTGTAAACATTTTTTCTGTACTCACGTACGCGCTGCAATTACATTGCAATCACAATTATAAATTGCGTCGATTACAAATTGTGATGACAACGCACATTTTTGATTTGTATCACACATTTATGACCTCTAATCAAAAGTTATTCACTGATTTGTGAAAAATAAAATTTAATACGGCTCTGTTCATTTTTACGGATATCAATTTTTTATTCTATAACATTATAATTTTAATTGTGTTCTTAGTTGTTAATTAAAACGTTTGCGGTTTGTTTGTTTTGAATTGTTTTTACGTTGGCCTCGGTTTTAACGTGCGGTCATTGAGAGCTGCCAAAAAAATTCGTTTTCGAAAACTACTTTCTCGCACCCGGCGGCAGCCTCGGGGCCGAAATATAAACAAACAAATGTTACACACTCTTCTTAATTATGACACTCGGTCTTTAAATCATTTAAATATTTTTTTTATAGATTTAATATAAAATTTAATAAAAATTTCGCAAGTGCGGTCCATCGATAGACTATTAATTATTTATAGAATCGTTCAGGCGTTGGGTCGGTTGGATCGTTCCGAGAGTAAAATAAAATTATTAAAAAGTGCATGCGACTCGGTCGTGCACGCGGCGCACGTGTTAATCAACACGTTCGAATTCGAATGATTACACAAGGCAACACATATACACATACACATGTGAACCAGCCGTGTTCAACATAAAACGACAATGTATACTCAAAATTGGCATCAAGGTATATTGGCAATAAACGTCAAAACAATCGGCGTGTAATAATATTAAAAATATATAAAACAAGTTTTATATAGTAGTTTAGTTACCTTTCAAATTTAACGTGTTGCAAAGAGTTATCCTCCCAAAATCTCATTTCCATAGTGATAAATAGTTGAAAAATTTGAATTTGAATAGAAATATCACTGCTCCACACAATATACTACGCAGTATCACGATATATCACGAACTTTAACGAACGCAGTGCGCACAAATTTAAGACGAAGTTCAACGTAGATTTACGATGTATTCCAAATGTATCACTTTTGAGTGCGCGCTGGGTTTTTTCCTGTTAATCAATAGACCAAAAACTAAAGTGGTTGCGTCTCGCCCCGCGCTGCGGGCGCACACGATTGTGCGAATTTGTGCGAAACGTGCTAGTCGCGTGCGTGAGGCCGGCTTGAAAGTCATAGGCGATGTTCAGTTCGCGAGCGACGCGTTTCCACTGGCACGTAGTCGGTAGTCGCGCGTTTTGTCGTGCGCTTACCCGTCGTGTTCGCGTAATCTGCGTTTGGAAAACGAAACGCAACCGCGCGCCAGCTCCTCGATTCACCGAACGCAGTGAACTGTCCGAGAAATAAACCGCCGCCGACGGCGCCGTCAGACGACACCGACGCACGGCGAAACGTGCACAGCGAGGCCACGCTCTGCAACACGTGAGCGCGAAACGAAACAATTACACGTACATTACTGCTTACATACTTGTACATTACTTACATTACTCGCATTATTTTGTGTTGGTATTTACGGCGAGCGTATTTAATAATTTATTTTTTCACGTTTTTAACAGGCTTTCAAATATGTATTTCACGTGGTTTTTTGTCGCAATTTCGATATCGCGCGTTGGTGTATTTCCATTCAACCGCGGATTATAATACTACAAGTCGTAGATTGACATTGACTATTTTATTAGTTTTATTCTTGCATTTCTAACATTCAAACATTAAAAACTCGTAAAATTTCGCTATAAATAACTAATAACTAAAATTAAAACTGAATATATTCTAGATTTTAATGCGCGTATTTAAATATGCAATAAAAATATGAAAATATGCATGAAAATTAATTCGCTATGTGTTGGTTGATCGAGCGATGCAGGCGCGCCGCCGTAATTACGCCCCGTGTACGCGAGCGAATTAAAATTCCGCACAGAATACAGAAAAACGATGGCCGATGGCCGATGATGATCGCGTTTGTCACGTCTCGCACATGTTCGCGATGCACATCGATCGAGTATGTGCGCACGAGCGGACAAATGAACAAATTATAATTGTATGTCTACATGTTCATGCAGCGTCATTGAAAATGCATAAAATATAACATAAACTTGTTATAACTAACGCAAACTGAAACGCAAAGGGCTCCCATTTAAGTCTGTGTAGGTTTTGCATCTTATTACTTATTAACTAATTCAGATATGGTGTTGAATAAAATTACGTTTATAAAATTAATTTTATTACTATCGTTGATCGATGATGTAATTACTGCTGGCGCATGAACGATAATTGCTTTCACATCGAAGCGGTGATGCGATTAGATATTTATAATTCAGTTTTGCTTTTTATTAATTTGATGTTTAATTATTTTTCATCGATTTTGCCCAGTTTGCGTAATACTTGTAACACTTGAGAAAGGTTTATTAAATTGTTCCGAGATACACTATTCAACTATAGATAATAATTATTGTTCTATAAATAACCCGCAAGTTAAGTCCAGTGCAAATTACATATTGCGCGATTACGAGTGCCATCACGTGAATCATGTATTCACGTGGTGCGTGGTGGCGGTGCAGTCCACGTTACCGCGAACGTGATTGTTTCACGCATATCGCCACCAATCTTGAGATTATACCCAATAAACAATGTTTTTAATTAAAATCTAGAACAATTCATGTTATTTTTCGATCTTGTCAGGGCTTTTGTAGATTATGTTTATGAAACGATATAATCTGTGATGCAAAAATTGATTTTTTGTGAATATTGAAATTGTACAATCGCGCTATGTATAAACGATGCTGCAACCGACACGTTTATGTATTGTAAGATGCTCGTGGGTAGTCACGTACACATCGCCGCCGCGCGGTTCACGTGCAGGTCGTTCAAATAATGAATCGTTAGATCGCCACGTCGCTGATGGAAATCGGGAAAACCGCGTCGCGTCGATGGGCTGGCGAGGTCGGCTATTGCGATTCACGTGGACGCGTGTCGTTGCATGTGCACGTGCGCATATGCATGAATCTACTATTGCGTGTCGATGGTGGTCTCCGGTCACGTCCGTCACCACAAGGATATAAAAACGCTCACATTTAGTTACCCCATTAATTATTTTACTTGGCATTAACACTTATTTGGTTTGGTTTTCAGGTTTTTGTTGGAAGACTAAACGCACCGCATTGTTTCAATCTTTGGGGAATTAAGTGGTTTATTTCAAATATAGAAGGATATTGGATATCTACATTGTTCAAAATGTAAGTAATTTATTCTTCTATTTATGTAATACTAATTTTTTTATTATACTTTTATCATATTTATATTTTTAAAATGAAGTTTCTTCAGAATTGTTGTGACGTGGAAAACGCCCTGTATCTCCTGAACTAATACATATTCTGTAAGTTTCTTTATGCCGTATTATAGTCTAAATGGCCCTCTTTTTGATGCATTTTATTTCAATGCTCTAATCCTTTTGAAAGTGCCCTAAAATACCTTTCAAACCTTGCCATTTTATAAAATTTGAAAACATGGCGTGGAAAATGCCCTGTATCTCCTGAACTAATAGATTTTCTTTAAGTTTCTTTGTGCCATATTATAGTCCAGAAGATTCTTTTTACGATGCATTTTATTTCAATCCTCTAAACCTTTTGAAAGTGCGTTCAAATGCCCTTCAAAAATTGGCAATTTTATAAAAAGTTGCAAACATAGTGTTGAAAACACCCAGTATCTCCTGAACTAATACGTATTCTGTAAGTTTCTTTACGCCATATTATAGTTTTTTGACCCTCTTTTTGATGCATTTTATTTCAAACCTCTAAAGTTTAGAGTCTAAACCTTTTGAAGTGCCCTAAAAGCCTTTCACAAGTTGGCAATTTTATAAATATTTGAAAACATGGCGTGGGAAATGCCCTGTATCTTCTGAACTAATACGTATTCTGTAAGTTTCTTTACGCCATATTATAGTCTTAATGACCCTCTTTTTGATGTACTTTATTTCAATTCTGTAAACCTTTTGGAAGTGTGGAATAACGCCTTGTATTTCCTGAACTAACTGACTTTTCTGAAATTTCTTACCGGCATATTAGAGTTCGAGAGTTTATCTACCCCATGCAAACCATTTCAACCCTTTAACTTGTCCAGAAGTACCCTGAAATGTGGTTCAAAATAGATATTTTACTCTAATATTTTTCATTTTTACTCTTAAAAAAACTGTGTCAAACTTTTGTAAACTTTTTCTGTCGAATTTTTGTGTAAAATTTTTTCGGTCGAATTGTTTTGTATTTTTTTCGGTCGAAAACAGGGTCGAACTTTATTACTTAAAATTTTTCGGTCAAAGAACAGGATCGATCTATTTTTTGGCGATTATGACCATAACAAAAAGTCTACAAAAACGAATGCATTTTTCTCTAAAATTATAAATAGGGACTAAACGGTTAATGTTATCAAAAAAAGTTACCAAAATAATCGATGTAGAATTAAATTATCTATCAGGTATTCGTTTTAAAATTTAATCGAAATTAATATCCATCCATTCATGCATAGTACGAGTACAATTCTATTCATGTTCTGCACTACCACACTGAAAGTATCAGTGTTTACAGTGTGTGTGGTCGCCACGCGGTTGGCTCGCATACTACGTTAGTCTCATTTTTGTCATCAGTTGATGTGCACGTACATTTTCTTCATTATTCTTGAGTTCCATAATTTATCTTCGCGTTGTTACCTATTATTTTTAAATGCTTTTTTCGAATGTGCGGCATCGTTAAACCCGGATTGCATATACGCCGAGGTTAAGTGTGAGTGATGTTCCGTCGGACACTCTTTCGAATTATACGCGTATTTCATCGTTCCTACAATGTGCATAATTAAGATACTTACAATTTATTGGATATGCCAAAAGCATAAAATTTATTTTGCATTAAGTTATGTTCTCGCATTGCTTGATAATTTATTTCCACAATTTTCGACAATGAATATCTTCTAAACTAAAGCAACTAGAAAACTGTAGGTTATGGAAGATTGGAAAATTCCCGATCAGATGGAAATTTGAAATAATTTAATTTAATGGTGTGAGGGTATAGCGTACAGTAAGTGTTTACTTAACTTTACTTAGCTTATACTCACCCTCTCGTACTACCATTGTATTTCAACATTTGGATTTATGTTTAATTTTTATAAATAAACAACGTTGATGCCTGTTGAAGAAGTTTAGGAGCACTTGTACCAAGAAGTCTACCGCTTCCATCGCAGAAATGCTAGAGATGCGCGTATTACAAGGTAAGTTTTACTTTCAGGAGATTTAAGAGGTGTCTATAATTTTCGATTTAAACAAAATGTATGTAGTTTTTATTTAATGTTGCTAATAAAACATAATGTAATATTATATACGAGTACTTCTTCATATTTCTTTCTGTTTTCCTTTTGCCGTTTGCAGGATTGATGTCTTAAATCTAGAGTGCGTCGAGCGTGTACAATATATAGCTGTTGTATGTGTTGGATTGTTGTTTTTAAAAAGTTAAATAAAGTAGAATCATAAATAGAAGAATCAAATAACAATGATAAAATCACTCGATGGTCGAGTGGGTACGTGCACCTGCTAGTATGCAAGTAGGCACGGATCGAATCTCAGGTATAGAAGGCATTTTTCTCAAATATAAAAATAACAGGTGTGATTTGGGTTGCATATGTAAACTCAATTGAAACATAAGGGAACTTGCAATACAAGTTTAAGGCAATATGAGAAGTAGAAAGTAAGTGATGAAACAGAGAACAGAGAAATGGGAGAAGTAGAAGAAGGAATATAGCAGAGATGAGTAGGAGACAGAAGGAAGAGTACAGAGTGGAGAAGAGGAGAAGAGGTGGAGATAGAAGAAAGAGAACAGGAGTGGATCAGATTTTTAAATTTTTGGCGGCGTGTCGTTATAAGATAGTCCACTGCTTCAGTGCGTCCATTGCTCCCGGCCCATCCTACAGCTACGATGTCTCTGCGCTTCATCCCCGAAATACTCAGGCATATCAACAATTTTATGGTGGGGATCATCCCCAGAGAGAGGGAACTCCTTATAAGGACAATCCTTATAAAGTCTTGTTCAAATATTTCTAAGTTTTAAGTCGTCTCAAGAGAGGCGACACTTAAAAATATTCTTACAAGTTCTGACCTGTTGCTGAAATGAAAGATGGAGTACACAAATCATATAGAATACCTAAACAATTTTTATAGTGGGGATCATCCCCTGAGAGAGGTAACTCTCTTCGAGACCTGTACCTGAAATGATAGATAGAGGTACATACAAACCATAAGTTAAAATCTTTCCTAACATTTCTTTATTAACAAATACAATTTGATACAATACAAGTTTAGATTTTAATAGTCATCAAAATACATGGCGCCATATTGAAACAGGACTTGCGACCTGCTTAGCTGTGCACGTATAAACAAGTACCACTTCCTACAGTTCTACCGGGATAAAGAAATTAGTAAATAGGTCAATATCAACGTTATTGAAAATGGAAACAAATATACAGGGTGTTACAAAATAAAACTTAAAGTGCAAACAGAAAACATTCAAACACACAAATATAGATCGTTTTTCACCCGTAACCACAAATATAGATCGTTTTTCACCCGACGGAAACTAACATACAGGGTGTTACAAAAAGAAAATTTAAAGTGCCAGAAGTTAGAATCTAATAAAAGTCAAAGCAAAAATTTCAGGAATGTGAAGGAAAAGGAAAGGGAAAAAAGTGTGTCACAAATAGAAAACTCAACGTTCAAAGGGGAAAGCATTTAAACACTACAAATATTGCTCGTTTTCAACCGATGCTTACATTTTAATATATTGTGTATACATTTATCATTTGATGATAGCATTAACTGCATAAGCTAACCGACGGGTGAAGCATCATCATAAATTGCAAGAACATTCGGCGGAAAACATCCAAATCAGCATGCGACGGCGCGTGTTAATACAGTAGGTAAATACGATAAAAATAACTATTTACTTGTAAATATTAAGATATATGGAGACTATGTTAGTGAAAACTATTCAACGTGCAAGATTTTATTATATCAACAAGAAAGTTTTTAATTTAATGATGCTAAGGAGTGTAATTCGACGAAAACGTTCAGCGAAAAGAGGACAAAGCCGTGGTCGGCCACATGAATATTGTCATTTTAATATTCCTCAGATATTTTTTAGAACAATGCTTGTTTACGCGGTTGTCGCGGTTTGTTTAGCAATGATTATTTAATTCGCGAAGGACTCGTTCACGAGATCTAACTTAATATATTTTCAAATGCAAGTTCAACAAGGTCAGAGTATAACTTAAGGAAGATGGCGTCCGGAACAGATTACAACACAAAATACGGGCACGCACAACTTACTAAGCACTGAGGGTCAAAATACTCACAGATAACTTACGATGACGATTCGATGGAAACAAGACCGAGATGCTCTCGGCTGGCCCTTTATTTGCCCCTCATACTCCCTCTCAGCTGCCCATCATGGCGTCACGCAGGAAGTACATACATAAAAAACTTATACTAAATAACAAACTTAAACTACATCACAACCCTCTAAGCTAGATAGCGCCACTGCTACACTTAGTTCAAAACATACACTTAGTTCAACGCATTGCTCAAAACAATGCTTGTAATAATTAAATCATGCATGTTATTTTCGGAAACAGAGATATGAATTCAGACAAAAAATGCTACCACGTGTTTGTAATTCGCACAGTTAATATCCCTCAAATGGAATTATCAATTTAATATAAACCGTCCTAACTTTCCGCGAAAAATTAATTACACACCTACCAGTGCAATGATGAAAAGATTTTAGATCCAGGAATATATCTTATCAACTGAAAACTCGTGCCGAAATCAACAGACACTAATTTCTTACTTAAGAACACTCCAACCGCCACAACTCATCAAACAAAACAGTCACACATTCTCGTTACGAATATTTTGCTTATGACGAAAAGAATACACGACGATTAATTGCATAATTGAAGTCTGAAAACGCGTGGCTGGTAGTGAGACGCGCTCGCGGATCACGCGGTGAAACGACTGCGGTATGAAGCTGCGCGTGGCCCGATACAAGGCAGGTATGGCATCTCACGAAACAAACGTAGAAGTAAACATTTACTTGAGAAGACGAAAGTAAAAATTCACAATATTGAATTAACACACATACACGAAATCAACTTTTACTTTAAATATATCTCGGCATAAGAAAAGAATATATGTATTGGTTTTGGATGCAATAAAGACGAGGAACTACAGGAATTTGAAATTTACCAATACAAATAAATAATTTATTGTCTTCTAATTGTCTTCGTATAAGTTTACTGTATGCCTTAGTTAATTAAATAATTGATGTTCACTGTTCACAACATCGCGACAAATTTAAATATTCTCTATAAAATAAAGTATTAAAATCGGAAAAATTTAAAATGAAATAAATTTATAACAAAAATACAAGAGGCGGTACGGCCCCGTTTTCCCAGTTTATTTTTCAATTCTGAACAGCATAATTTATATTTTATATTTTATGAATACGACTCACTGCCGCTCCTTCGAACAGTGCCCTGAACACGAGTCACTTCTACTGCAGCCCTTGTACGGTGCCCTGAGTAAGAGTTTATACTACCGCTGCCCTTGTACGGTGCCCTGAACACGAGTCACTTCTACCGAAGACCTTGTACGGTGCCCTGAATACGAGTTACTATTACCGCTGTCCTTGTACGGTGCCCTGAACACGAGTCACTTCTACCGCAACCCTTGCACGGTGCCCTGAATACGAGTTACTATTACCGTTCCCCTTGTACGGTGCCCTGAACACAAGTCACTTCTACCGCTGCCCTTGTACGGTGCCCTGAATGTGAGTTACTTCTACAGTCACCCTCTACGGTACTCTGAACACGAGTCACTTCTATTGCCACCCTGCTACGGAACATCGAATGAGACTCAACTAAATCAACAAAATTTCACAAAACCCTCTTGCGCGATCATAATCCGATAAAAATTTGAACATTTCAAAAGATTTTCCGCAATATGATTCGTTTTCGCGAGCTATTGCAACAGGCAGGTGAAATGTGATAAAACATTTGACCGAATAATATAACTTAATTATAAACTTACCAATGCAGTGCTTATCGGATTGCAAGGGTACGGCAAGTACTGTAATTAAAAGAAAACATAAGTAAAACAAAAAATGGTTGTTTGTAAAGTAGGTTTACGATCGAGATGTTTACGTGATAACGTCTTATTGGTGATATAAGTTTTGTTTGTTGCAATTGTTGTAACACTTCACTTGCACTTCACATTTTGTTTTACTGTTAGGCTCCCCGCACACTACAAACTTTTTATCGGCCGATAAAACATTCAACGAAAACTTAACCGCACGAGAAAATCTCCATTCGTTTGTATGCCGCTAGAGTGAGAGAGACGGAAGATCGGTCAACTCACTCGAACGCTATGACTGGCACGGAATGACTGGCAGCGCTCGAGATGAGACGGGAGATCGGTCCGTCTCTCTCTGGTTATAACGAGAGGGGGGTCGGAATGACTGGCAGCGCTCGAGATGAGACGGGAGATCGGTCCGTCTCTCTCGTTATAACGAGAGGGGGGTATACCTGCGATCGACCTCGCTCGTGACACAGTTTCTGAACAGTCACCCAATAAAACGATTTTAAAGACGTTATCACGTCAAAAACATTTCATACAATATGATAATATTATATTCACACATCGAAGAAAACAAACTTTCTATGCTGAGTATCGCAATGGTCAGATTAAAGTAACTTACTCAAGCCCGAATTAGTCTCCGATTGATCTAGCGACCGACCACGTCCCACCATAATCGAAATATTAATGATTTGAACTATAAACATCAGAAGCAAGCGAAAAAAACATTTATTCACATTAAACGCACAATTACACAACAACACACAAAATATTGAATTCCGAAGATTACATACGCGATAAATATTTACCGAATGACCAAACACGGCAATTAACACTAAATTCAATCAAATATAATGCAATATACCGAATTTACAACGGGAAACACGAATACTAGACGGAATATGCTTATCTGCCGCACGAAGTAAGAGCTGCGTGCCGGCATCACAACTGTGCACGTCGACTTTCATTCGCAGGAATATTTTTAGTTAAAACATGCATCGTTGTGCTACCTGAGAATACTTTATTGTACTTCCAGAAAATACCAAGCGTTTCAAAAAGTGTGGCGTACATATGAGGCAGTGAGCGATTGCCTATGTATCAGTGAGTGGTCACGCACTTAGGTATCACACGTACACAAGAGTGCGTATGTAGTACCCTATCTAAACAAATAGCAATTTTTACACATAACTCAAAACATCAAATATAGAAGTCAATAGAACACACTTATTCAAAATAAATTAATTTAATTATAATATTATTATTATTATTGTTATTATATTATTAATTAATACTCGTTGAACGACGATTACAAATATCTTCTACGAAAAAAATTTTAACAAAAAATTCGACCAAAAAAGTTTACATAATAATGCGACCGAAAATAATTTTATCAAAAAATTCGACCGAAAAAGTTTACAAAAAAATCGATCGAAAAAATGTTAACAAAAAATTCGACCGACAAATTTTTAACAAAAAATTCGAGCGAAAAATTTTAACAAAATAACATAGAAATTTTAAGTAAAAAAGTTCGACTCTGTTGTTCGACCAGAAAATATTTTAAGAAAAAGTTCGACCCTGTTATTCGATCGAAAATAATTTAGATACGTTTTGACAGAGCAAAATATGATAAATATTGGAGTAAAACAGTTATATTTTGAACCTAATTTCAGGGCACTTCTGGACAAGTTAAAAGGTTGAAAGGATATGCATGGTGTACATAAACTCTTGAACTCTAATATAACAGTAAGAAACTTTAGGAAAGTCAGTTAATTCAGGAAATACAGGGCGTCTTCCACACCATGTTTTTAACATTTCAAAATATTGCCAACATTTGAAGGGCATTTGAGGGCACTTCCAAAAGGTTTAGAAAATTGAATTAAAATGCGTCGAAAAGAGGGTCATTTAGACTATAATATGGCGTAAAGAAATTTACAGAATATGTATTAGTTTAGGAGATTCAGGGCGTTTTCCACGCCATGTTTTCAAATATTTATAAAATTGCCAACTTTTGAAGGGCATTTTAGGGCATTTTTAAAAGGTTTAGAAGATTGAAATATAATGCATCGAAAAAAGGGTCATTTAGACTATAATATGGCGTAAAGGAACTTAAAGAAAATGGATTTGTTCAGGAGATACAGGGCGTTGCCTACACTATGTTTTCAACTTTTTATAAAATTGCTTACTTTTGAAGGGCATTTTAGGGCCTATTTAGGAAAGCAGCAAACAATTCCCTTCAAAATGGAAATCAAAAGTTCAGGAAGGAAAAGACCCAAAACCAACAAAGCAATCTATTTGTCAAGTGAAGCAGGGGTACAGAAATGGAAAGGATGTTACGAAAAGAAAATAATTTATAATAAAATGATGTTTTACTATGAAAACATTTGAAAATTTATCAAGGAGATAACCCACAATTCAAATAAAACGCCCACTTTGAAGTACGAATAAACGACGGCCGACGGATCGGCATAACTATACATAAACTCACGGTTTACTAAACAACAATTGCTTATGAATTACGAATAGAGTTGCCGAATTACTGATATATTATTGTAGCGACCATATATGAGGGTTACGCGTAAAGAAAACAAAGATTCGAGCTATAATTATCATGTTTTGCTAGAGGAAACTTGTGACACAACGCGTATTGAAGGCGACAATTTTCCGGTTACTTTTACTTACATGACATGGTAGCTCTTGTATTTGCAAATTGAGGATCAATAAGGTCTAGTCCAAAATTGAGTATCGTATAACTCCACAGGCAAAAGAACAATTACCGACGGCCGACGGAACCTCACACGCGTACCGATGAACATCATTTATGAACGTTTAACGCATACAAACGAACAAGCAAAACTCCGTTCACCCCGATTCTTATATATGTGGTCAATTTTTCATAGTATATAAACCGTTCTGCATAATTATGATCGAAAGAAACAAACCCAGTCGCCATGACACGCACGATTCACGTCCGAAATAAAACTTCATGTGCACAGCCGACGGCGACTACACGCGGCCACTATCAGCTTGCGATAGGCTTGCTGAATGCGACTCTGGTGGCTAAACAAAACTCACAACGTTGTTTATAAATACAAAAATCTACAAATATTCGTGTGCAGGACAAACAGAAATCAACTACATTATAGGAGAAAATCTTAAATTCAAAACGGACCAAAACTTACATAATTCGACGAAATTTTAGAGTGATATCACAAGAAATTTAATCCGATGGAACATCACACGAACACTGAACTCCACGATTGATAAATGTTTATCGCGTGCAATCACACTAGCAAACCTCAGTTCACGATCAATTCCAGTATATGTTGTGGAATGTATATATAATATAAAACGATTTTATTAATTATGATAGAAACACTATATATAACAACACTAGACGAGCACGCGTGACTCATTTGATGACCGAAATCGAACTGGATGTGCACCAAACTGCACACAGCTAACAATCACAACACGCGGTCACTGCGATACGCAGTGGGATGCGCCCGGTGAACACAACAAAAAAATGTTTACATACCTGCACAGATATTTGCTTATTTACTATGACAGCATTACTAGTTTTGGCACTACAAGCGCGCTGCCCGGTATTTCTACGTTCTTTGTGAAAATTGATCTTAAAATCTAATTTAGATATCGAAACAAAACATGTAACAATGATTCAGATTAGAAATCTCCGACAAATCTCTGAGTTGTAGTTCAACTTGGCCTGTACCGATTTTACCCAACTCTGAAATAAAACTCAGTCAAATCAAATTGGTTATTAATTTTATATTTTCAACATTCAACTAAATGTACAAAAATGTCATCAACCATGCCTTTGAATACATGAATGCGTAAATTTATCCTTTGTTTCATATTTTCCGTTCTTCATTCTGGTCGACCATTCTCCAACCTTCAAGTTAATATCTACGAATGAACATCTGTATTCATACATAAATCGTACAATTTGTAATCGTAGCACACTTTATATTCATATAATCGTATCAAAATGATATAAACTCATCGAAAACATTCATATGTCTATATTTATTTTAAATATTATATTAATGCTTGTCCTTTTACTTCTTGCTACATTCCACCAATGGTTCTATTTCTGTTTTGTGAAGAATTCTATAGAACTAGTAAATAAATAGTAAATTTCAGTGTTGTATCAAAAAAAAAGGGAGAACAATAGTTATACATAACCATTCAGTAATATAGTCATATACTAAGTAATATTCGTACATTTTTACTCTTTGCTCAAAATAAATGCATAAATTTCTTTCAAAATTTACTTAGATGCGAATAGGAAAACATTGAGACAGCACCCAGTATATTGTGTGATGAACAAGAGATCAAGTAGAATATGTTTATATAGTAATAAATTTTGGTTTGTCTATTAGTAGAGTTTTGTAGTAATGCATTGAAGTTATTTCTTTGATAGTTATGTCTAGTCCAAGTTAATTTATGTGTATGCATTAGTGTAGACATTGACGTAAACGATTGTTAAAAAGCTATCATGTATCATTATCTCTCATTATCATTAAATGTAACATCTTTGCTCTTTTTAATTGTGTGAGAAAAATAAACTTTCAGCCGATATGCACAATAAATATCAATATATCATTAATTTGGTTCCATCTCAAAACTATGACAGATTTTTGACAGCAAATTACATCTAACCTCATTTCTCCGCCATCTAATTTCTGCTGATTTTATGCGGTAAAAAAGCTACGATATATCTTTGTTAATGTTTAGATATACAAGATATATAAATCGTGTTATCCTTGATATTCTTATTGTTTCTGTATACCATGTATATTATTGTTTCGTCTTTTCATTTTTGGTTTCGCTTAAAATGCATAAAAATTGCTATATTTTTGTTTACAAGTTTGTATTAATCGCTACGCTGCCAATTGTTTCGTTTTAAATGTTAAATGCTTAATGATGGTCTGATTGATGATAATGTGTTTCGATATGATATGAAAGATTTGATGTAATGATGCAATCATGAGGTGATTTTATAAGCTCGCGCTTTTTACTTGAGGTTATGTTAATGTTTAATGTGTAAGCCTTATTATATCTTTATATGTACGGTCAATACTGTAGGTATGCACATTTTAGTTTATCTTTACTTTACGTTTATGTTAAACATGAAATAGATAAATAATCTTATATCAAGTGTTATTCGTCAAGCAATTATTGAAGAGTTTTTCTGCATGAATCTAAACATTGACCTGTTTAGTTTTGATATAGTTTATATCATGAGTATTGTGTGAAAACCATTTGAAATGGGAATGTTAAAGCTAAATAAATCTTTGGTACAATAGCACTACGCAAAACATAATGAATAAATAAATTAATCCTACAATGTTAGTGAGAGTTTTGAGGTGTATAAAATTTACAAGTGCATCAAAAACTCAAACGCATTTAACTTAATGAGATTCTGTAAGCCATCTTAATCAGCCATTTTCTTTGCCTTATAATCTTGACCGTGCCAATGCGTTGCCAACTTAACACGTTTCCGTATCTTTTGGAACTTATATTTACAATACATTACAGTGTCTTTCATCGATCATCCTTTTTTCTTTCCAAATTAATTTAAATTTTAGGCTAAGTTATTTACAAGATAAATATGCGCAGTCATAGGGCAGTGTTATACGAGTCGTCATTTTCTAACCTAATCATTACCTACAATCATAATTGTAGTTTGGTTTGTGCTAAAAGTGACACGTCGAAAAATTTTCCTTTACGACTGGTAGTGATACAGTTCGCCGGTGGTCCGATTAACGCCAGTATAGATGGGCTCATTTGTGGGATTGTACCGTACAGTTGGGCCGTTCTGGCATTGTAACCGCTTTATGTATGGATTCTGTGCATTGGCATTATTAAACAGTCGCACACCATTGTGATGTGTCGGTATCGTTGAATGCTGACGTGGGTACACATTGCAACTGTTACCCCCACCTAAATTAGTGGGTATGGCATTCGAAGTGTGTACCGGAAGTGGCATAGTGGAACAATGTGGGTAGTTATTTGTCATCGTGACCACCGGTTGAGTAGGATAGTGTGGTAGAGTTGCCGACGAGGCTTGTATATTCTTCAAATCATCAGTGAAGGAAGTCATGCGCATATTGGTAGCACGACCAAAAGGTTCCTCTTTGATGATAGGCGTTGAAGTTACGTCCGTAGTCTTGGGACGAACAGCCTTTCGCCGAATGACTACCGTCTCGTCATTGGGGTTTTCAAGAATGACGTTATGATCTAAATCAGCTGAGTTTACATAATTCGCGTTACCATTAGGGTTACAATATCCGTATACCGAATTGGTACTAGGAGAGGAAGCAAACTGTTGGAAAGATGCGCTGGTCGGCGGAGCCATGCCACGTTGAAGGGAGCAAGACTTCCACTGAATCTCCTCTTTCATCGGTTGTTGCAAATCTGCTACACTAGTTGCACGTCGCGTATGTTGATTTGTAGTTATACCGGGAACCGTGGACATTGTTGTGGGAGGTGGAGAGCAAGGATACGAAGTCGGAGGATGTTCCGAACTTTCATTAGAATGAATCCCACTTGATGTCTCGCTGTGATTGCTCCCCGGTGGATCAGGAGGAGAGTGTGAACTTTCCGTACTGATTGAATCCGACCGGGGAGTGAACTCTTCATGCGGCATACCAGAGTCCGCTCGTCTTAAACATCTCGGTGTAAGACCAGTTGGTACCACACTCTGTAAAACCATAAAATTGATTTATCAGTATAATTAGTCAATAATAATCAAACTTAATCTAAATTATGATGGTTATAAGAATGATGATGATGTCTAGTGATAAAGTTCTACTAGTATATAGCTCATGCATAAAAGTTAATAAGAACAAGCGGCAATATTGTACCTGCGCGTGCGCATGGACCATGACCGAAATTGGCTGGGTTTGATGATGTTCGCGATGCTCCAGTTTGTCCAAAGGCTCTGGAGTTAGCAGAGGGCTGGGGTCCTCGTAATCAACAGGCGGTACCAGATCTTGGCTGGTGCTCGCATAGGTCACGTGTTCATCGTGCACGCAAGCTAAGAGCTAACGGGGAGCGAAGAGCGGTTATTAGATTAGTTTAAAGTAAGCAACCACAACAACAACTAATTATACTACAACAACATTAGTCTAATTAAAACGAGCAATAACTCCAACGACTATGATGATGATGAGCGATGATAGCAGATGATGAGGGTTGAACCTACCTTGCCCTCTTCGCTAATGTTGTCATCCGAATGGTTAGCGGGAACGACTTCCCTTAATGTGGCGTAGTCGCCATCATCGACCTCCATTCCTGGTACTCGACGTCTGGATCCACTTTTACTGTAAAATACCACAACACATTATACAACGTGTATTGTATATTTGTTTTCTTATTTAGTTAATTGCTATAGTAAAAGCATAAAGTTAGCACAAAGCACCACAATAAAACAATTTCTTTTCTACTATATCCCCTCCACCCCATTATGATAGACAACGACACAAAAACACCAAATAAGAAGAATGTCCCTAGTTACCGATTGTTAGACGTACTGGTAGTCTCATTAAATGTGACTTTATGTTTGGGTTTCTTGTTGAACCAACATAACTGCTTGCTACCATCTGGTGATCCTTGTGGTGTGACCAATGCAGGTCTCAGCCAATAAATCTGCTCCTCATCGTCATCGCCACTTTCGGATTTGGGCTCCTTTACCATTGTAGCCTTTTGAATCACACCCATAATGGCTTTTTTAGGAGACAGTTCATTGACTGTATAAGTGCGTCCATTGCCAACCACCAACAAAGGTTGTGTGGCTGGATCATCTGAGGAGTTGGTCATGAGATCCACGTCTGTTACAAGTTTTACAGAGCGAGCTTGACGTACAGTTGCACGGCCCACAGTCACACGTAGTTTGAAAATCCATTTTTGTTTGATTGTGAGGAAAAGCCAAACAACAATCCAAATGAACAGATGTAGAATACCGCCAATAATGCATGCTAAGATGGCGCCGTCAAGACTACCGCGATACACCATAGTGTAGTCGTGTAAAAGTGGAGCATTGCATAGACCCACTGAGACAAGCACACAAAGTGCAGCGCAGTGAGTAAAATATGACCACTTTGAATGGCCACCCTCTTTGAGAACAATCACACGACGTTCTCGTTCTTGGTTCAAAAACGATGTAAATCTAATTTGTTAAAAAGTAAAAATTAGTTGTCCATTCATTTACATCTAATAATATCGCTTACCTTGTATGTCCATAAAGATACAACACCAGACTTGATGCAAGGATCAAAAGAAGTGAGAGTATGTAGAGCGCGAGTGTCACTTGAGGATTGAGCAAAAATGGTGAAATACCACCTAGTGGCGAAGTAACACCACCAAGGTGATGCTTCATTAATGGTAACGCTTTCCACGGACCCACAATTTGAACCTAGATATAAATAACATTTGCTTTCTGCTCTAAATCATTTCAATTTTCAAAAACAAATGCTTACCTTATACAAAACTGACATCCCTGCGTATGAGAGTAAAGTCTGCAAACCGTTGATCAACAACTGGAAGGAGAACAATAATCCCATACATTTATTCGTAGCCCAGAACAGCGAAGGGTAGCGCACTGAATAAACCAATAAAGCAATCGCAAAGTTGAGATATTCAATACTGACAGAGCTACCCATTCCAGAATCTGCAATCCAATATACAACTTTTATAGTTTCCCGATGATTAAAATTACAGTTTCTACTTACCGATATGCAAATTATCGTGTTTCTCGTGTCCTATATAATCACGAAGGGTCTTGACAACGTGGTGTGTAAATGCAACTGCAGAGGGTGTATTATTATCTCCACCACCGAGAGCAAATAACGGTGCACTGGCGGCAGATGGCAATAGTGTACCATTCTGTGATGCCATTGTTGCGTTAAATGCAGCGGTAAAAGGAGCCGCAGACGGCACGCGATGATGATGGTTTAAGGTTGCATTGTTCGATGTCATGAACGACAAAACCACCAAACGGTCTCGGTGCACCACCATAAAGTCCAAATCTGTTTTCCAGATAGATTCTAAAGAAAAATAAAAAACATTGTTTATTTTCAAAATATTGGTTATGTTTGTTTGTTTATAATCCTAAAATCATGTCAAAACAAATTTACAAAGGACATTTCAGCTTAAAAATCCTACACAAAAAGTTTGTAATCGGCTTAATTCTAAATAATTGTAAATCCGGAAGTTTAACGAGCTGAAAAAGTTCGTAACCGTCCGCCATTGTTGTTGGTCACGGAATGGCAAGCCACCGGACAGTTTGAAATATAAGCTCATGACGAGATTAAGATTGATGGCGTTTTTCACGTCGCGGTTCAGCGAGGGCGGTTAAATAATCCCGACGAAAGCACGTCTCACGTCGTGGACGTCGACATGAACATTAGAAAACGCCACGAGCCTCCGTTTTGGGGTGTTTTGGGGGCGCACGACGACGTTTATCCTTTTGGGCGGAGGCGACGCATGATGCCTTCCGGGTGTTCGCACCCGTTTCGCATACATTCGCAAACGTTTGGCTACATTTTTATATCATTTTTATTTAAGTTGTGACAGTTGACAGATGAAATATACCCTGAATAAATAAAACAAAAGTAAGACGATAAATCAAACAACGTTAGTTTTTTTTTTTGTATTTGTAACATTTTACTAAAGTTTTTTTTTTTAAGTTTGGCAAACTTTTTACAATCTATATAAATGTTTATACCCGTTCATTATTCATCATACATCATTCATTCTCGCTTCGGACTTGAGACTCGAATATTTATTAGCGCGATTTTTCAAACTCGTATCTCATATCCTACAGGTGCAGGCGTAAACATTGGGATAGGGGTAAACTACCCCTGGTGGCTATAGCTAGGGGGTAGCGTGTATTTTATTGGATGACCTGTCAAACTACGTATGCAAATGTATCCTGATGTCGCAGGTCGTATCCGTAGCCATAAAACGACAAAAATAACGATAACGACGTACCAAACTGGCAAAAATATCAAAATGGCGTTTAGACAAGTACTATGTTCAAAAATAAATTTTAGGCAAAAATAAGATATAAGTTTCATTTGTCACTTTTTAGTTGTGTTAGGTCTGCTAGTCATGATAAAAGATTAGTATCGATTTGTAGCAAGTGTCCGCGTTTGAGAAAATCAAATAACGCACCCCTATTTGCACAACCAGCACAATTCAACACAACGCAAGTGCGCAAGTTTAATTCATTCTAAATGTGTTTTAAGGGACGTTTATGAGTGCGTCGCTAGATAAAGAGAGAGTGAATATAGGGGTGCCTTCCAGTCGATAAAATAGCATTTAGCATTTTTACTACGCTTTAGTGTAGATTAAAAATGTCCTAAAATACTGAAATAAAGTATAGAATGCGACCACGATGAGTGGGGGTGGTTTTCGAAGGGTCCGCAATGTGTGCGTGCGTTTAAATCGGTTTGAGTGCGAATAAATCAAGTGTGAAACATTAAAAACCCTTGATTCGCATACTGTCCACAGCAACCCTTAGAAATGTCCGAATTCCGGCGGGAGCTGCAAATTGTCATCACGGCCAGTATGGAAAGAGAATGCAGAAAGCAAAAACGGAAGTAAATGGAAAGGGGTTGAAAATAGGCGAGGATGGGAAAGCAAGGGTTAAAACCAGCGGACGATAAATTGACTACACTATGTTCCTGTGCGTGTCCGCGTAAAAATTATCAACGAGGAAAGTGTGTGGATTTTTCCATCCGCCTTGTTCAAAGGCTATTTTCATCCTCTGCGCCCCCATCTCCTAATTTAGTCCTTTGATGGTCCATCTAATTTTGATTACTGTCTGAGCGTGGTAATTGCATTTTTAATTACAGGAAAAACTTGAAGGATAAGGACAAAATGGCGGCCGATGCAACGTAATAATAGCAAAGATACAAAAATTACAAAACTAAACTTGATGGCGGAAAGCGGAAAGCGAAAAGATGCGAGTAATTAAACTCTACCCTCGTTTTATGTCGTTGTAGTTTTCATTACCCTCGAAAGTCAAGCGATGGTATATTGCCATTGTGTTTGCATTTTATCATTGCGAATGTTTTTTTTTGTTGTACTATTTTTTGCACGTTGTGCAGGAAGAAGCGTCGTAAAATGCAGGAAGCAGGAAATTAAAATGGGTGCAGATAACCTAACTTAACAATGCGAAAAAACAAAGGCTATAGAAATAAAAGAATAAACCGTAATGAAATTGGAAGAAGAAACAAAATAAAAGATTTTATTCAAATTACACACACAACTAAACAACCATTAGTCAAATTTGAGGTTAGTTTAGACTATCAACTAGATTTACCTAATTTAATTCTCGTATCATCAACCCAAACGCAAATCTCTTTCAAGAACTTAGGATGCAGGACCGTACTAACAAGCTACTTTAATGCTGCTATAAAAGGAAGTCCACGACTACAATGTTCATGATCGCAAATGACGTTAGAAGATGTCGAGAAACATTCACAGGATTCGAAATTGCTAAGGGTCTGCTAGCTTAGGTATTTAGGATCTCGGTGAGCTTTATTAGCTCGTTGGCTCTCCACGAAGAAAAGTTTACAACAACCGAGTGTGAGAGATCCTCAGGATGCGAATTGAGTTAATCCGTTTGTCTGTAGCTGGACTACTCCTTAATTTGATAGCGTGCGACATGGCAGAGACACAAACACCGCCGACATATACATAAGCAAGTTAGAAGGACCTGTAAACTGAGCTAAATTACACCAAACTACTCCCGGATTAGAGGAAACATCAAGGATAATAAAAAAAAAGTTATAAGTAAAAAGAAAGCAGAAGAAGCAGCCGAAAGAAGAAATTACCTCCACAAAGGTATGAAAGATAACAAAGGACGATAACAAAGGTGGAATGTATATGACCACAACTATTTCGCTTTGTTTGTTTGTATAGAAACTGCTGCAGAACTTTGCAAAAGTGGGCCGAGGTGTACAGCAGATGGTGTGTGCCAGCATGGGGTTGGTTAGCTGTGTGTTTGTGCTTTATTGAGAGAGGAATTGCGGAATTGGAAGGTATTAGCAAATTGCACCAATGCCAACGCCAAATAGCTCGAATATTTCCTTCCTTTCTACCTACACACGATACGTATAATTTCTGCAACCAACTTTACCCTGAAGCATTGAATCGAATATCGAAGATCACATTTCAAACGGACATTGAATATCACTCAAATAATTCCCATGATAAAGAATAAAAAAGCTAAGAGAATACCAAAATTAAGTTAATTTTTCGTTTTAAAAGCAAATTTGAGGTTAGGTAAATGCACACATTGACGATCTAATAGTATTAACCTGTTTGCGTGTAATCTTAGAATTTTCAAGACGATGAGAGTGCTTGAGACGTTAAGATGTCAAGAGATGTAAAGTGCAGGAATACTCTGGCGCTTTACGAGTGGAAGCAAAGAAATAAATTCGTCCGTAATAAGTCGATTTAAGATGCTACGAAAATGAAGCCTGGCGACAAGTTCCAAGACATCCTACTGTATGCGAGGGTGGAAATATAATATGCCCTAATGCCTAATGCCAATTTGGAATAAATCATTCCGGTTATTGGATCAACTCAAGGGATGACACAGCGACATCTGTGCAGTCACTAACATACTAGATATAAAACATACATTATTAATTTAATGCGATGAGTTGAATTGAATTTAAAATTAAATAAATGATGACTTTGACGATTGCTGATTACGGTAGCTCATCAACATTGTAACGAGGATGATTGCAGAGGGTGGGCAGGAGTTGAAGATTGCCTGCAAGCATTAGGAATATTAGCATTGCGCGGACAATCAAGCTCCTGCCCTCACAGTCAGCGTTGTCACTTCCTCCATCTTCTTTGCAATCCGCGGCTTCGAGGCAAAACGAGCATGATAAAATGATAAGAGTATCGATTTTAGCATTAACCGCGAACGAGAAACGCCACCCACATCAACAGAAAACTGACTAACGACCAAACGACCAACAAGACTTTAAAATATTAAACCTGCTTAAAAATTCATATGTTTTATTTGAGGTTAGGTTCTGTCTCGATTAAGAGTCGTATGTGTCATTGTCAAACATGGCGTGTAATGAGTGTTTAGTGACTTTTAATGACGGTGACTTTAAAACGCGATTTCCATTGTTCTGTGGTACTACTCAGCACGCACAGCACGCACAATCTGTGTTTAATTGCTTTAATTGCTCGGCGAACACCAGACACATCAGCGTGCATCTGCGGTCAGATGTGGTTCACGCAGTAACACACAAAATCACGTTAAAACAAGATTCTGCATGATCATGTGCGCGTTGGGTTGTCTACATTACTCCTATTAGAAACACATCGTATCAGAAACCAGTAAAACCGCACTTAACCTCAATTAACCTCACTTAATCACAAATTACATTTCAACTAGTTATTTTAAAAATAGTTGTGGATATTCTTCGTTTAACACTTCTTGAAATTTTCACTTTAAAACTATTGTTTAACATTTTATGTTTGTAAGTTTTCCATTTTCGCGCTGCCATTCAAAATAAGTGGCAGCTGAGTCTAGACTGGATTTTCTCTAGGTTTTAAGTTGCGGATCAGTTTAGGCAGCACTCAGGTAGTCAGGTGCATATTTCAATATTCTATGCGCATATACGCATTATATATTTTCACCATTTTTGCCTCCGCCATCTTGCATTGGAACTGAAGTCTCCAATAATCTCCAGACTAAAGCCTGCGACGCGAAAGGTGCTTGCACTCAGAGCAAACTTTTCATATTTTTATGCAGGCAAACTTTAATATCGAAACTTCGCGACTGATCCAACAAAATGAAATGTGTCATTCATAGCTCAAAAGAAAAGTGATATTTTAATCAAACATGCCAAGTTCAAAGGAAATCGATTAACTTCTTTTACTATTTTTACTAGAAATTATTAGCTAATAAAAAGTAATATTTCAATTTTATATATAAAATTACTTGTTGCAGGTTTGAGTTATAAATTAATTACATCAAAACGAATATGGTTGCTTTGTTTCAAACTGCTAT